GATATTGTCAGGATATGATAACCAAATCTGAAATGGATCTGGATATAGTTGCATATTTGGATCATAGTAATGTGGTATAGTAAAGGAAAATGAAGTAAAAATTTGTATATTTAAGTAAAGCTGAGGATTGATAAGAAGAGTTTGAGAATGTGTATATCGATGATCAGATTATAGGACACAGGAAGTCAGAATGTTGAGTTTGAGCAAAAGAAATTTCAGGATGTATGAGAATAGAGGTGAAATTGATAAGTTGAGTAAGCGAATTTTGAGATAATTTAGATTGGAAATGATGTATATGATTGGTATAATAGGGCTTGTGCCCTAGATTGAATAAAAGTTATTATCTAGCTGTAAGAGTAAAGGTGCTAGAGTTATAAGATTGGAGGAAAGATAAAGTAGAGTTAATCAAATATGATATGAATCTGGATGTGGTTATGTATCTTGATCATACAGATATGATGTAGGCAAAGAGATAAGCATTGGTATGTTTTAAAAAGTGGCTTTAAAGAAGAAAATACAAATACAAGAGATGATAAAGAATAAAGTTCGGTATAAGAAATAGGGATATCAAAGTTATGAGGATGCAATGAAGATTGTTACACAGAGATGAATATAGGTGATAAGACAAGAGTATGTGAACATGAAAGGAAAGATATGATTTGTGTATAAGGAATAAATAAAGGAAGAATGAAATAAAGAAATGAAAAGGGATTGAGTTAAAGGATCAAATACGATAAAGGTTATATGGAATGTAGATGATAATTTTGATATAGAAGTAAGAAAAGTGTGTAAGGTTATGTGAATAGATTCTTTAAAAGGGTATGTTGAATCATATTTAAAGAAGATTTAAGGTCGTGTTTTGGTTAAATGATGATGGAAAACGAATTTGGTTAGAGATGGATTTAGGTTGATGATTGATGAAAATGGATTGAAGTTACTGGTTGCTGTTTAAATGATAAGTGACGTGATATAAATATATATATATATAAAGGAAAAAGGTAATTGAAAAGCTAAAGGATTGAAAAGTAAGTTTCTGATGATGACAAGAAAGATTAATTAAATGAAGCAACATGAGAACTTTAGAAGATATGTTTCTATCAAGATGTCCAGTGAAAATTCGAGGACGAATTTTCTTAAAAAGGAGGGGAGATTTGTAACATCCGCAATACCGGGTTAGTGACCAAATTGTAAAGTTTCAGAATTTGGTGACTAAAGTATAAGAATGAAATAGTTCAATGATTATTGAATATATATGATGAAGGTTATTTAGTAATTATTAAAAGAAGTTAAGGGTTAAATGGTCATTTGACCAGAAAGATTTTTTATCTTTCTTTTAAAGGTGATATAAATGTGGGAAATGAGAAACATCCAGAGTTCTCTTCTCCTTTCTTCTTCTTCATACGTGGGAGAGCCAAGCTAAATGTGAGTTTTCTTGTGGATCAAATTCTTGATGAATTTAAGGTTGCTTATTGATCCTTAGATAATAACTAAGCTTAAGGAAAGCTTAGATTATCTTAAAACCATAAGATGAGGAGTATATGAAGAATTAAAGAAAGGAAGTAGAAAAGTGAAATCTTGAAGTAGAGTTCATTTCTTAAATTGGAAGTTAAATTTGACTTGTCAATGGTTAAATTAAGAGATTTGGAGTGATAGAATTGGATTTAGAACATATAGAAAATTTGGTATGATTCTTGAATCTCATAAGGAAGATAGGATTTTGAGGTTAAAGATGATTTACATGGATATAAGTTGGTTCAAGTAATGGTAGTTGAGTTTAATGTCATAATAGGGGCTTAAAATAGAAGAATTAAGGGAAGAGTTGATGATTTACGTGCTAAAATGTCAGTTCTGGGCAATGTGCATCGATGCATATTCATTGTGCACCGATGCATCGATGATAAATACCAAAAATTGTTTAAGGTGCATCGATGCACATGCAGTGCATCGATGCATTAATTTAAAAAGAAAACATCGAATAGGATTTATGCATCGATGCATAAGGAGTGCATCGATGCATCCCCATTAAATACAAACATCGAATAGGATTTATGCATCGATGCATGGTGTAGTGCATCGATGCATACCTTCATTAAAAGATAAAAATGACTCTTCTTTTAGCCCAAGAAATGATAATTAGAATATATTAATTAGTATATTGATTAGTATCAATGAATTATTATGTAGATACAGAGCCTAAACAAGTTCCGGAACTTATCAAGTAAGATCGATCAAGGAAAGATAACAGATCGATATTGACTAGCGAGGCTAGGTGAGTGCGTACTATTAGAATATACGTATTGTATATGGAAATTTGACTTGCGACAAGTCTGTTTCCAATATGTTGAATATATGATTGTATGATTATGTTTGATATTACATGAACATGTTTAGTTGTATTACATGTTAGGTGGTATGAATTTATATGATATGTGTTATATGGCAATGATTTATGTATTATAGGAATTAGATGAGTTATATGAACCTGAGATATAAATTATAGGAGCATGAATTATGTAAAATAGCAATGATTTATATGATAACAAGAGAAAGGATATAAATTACATGAGTTAGATATATATATATATATATATATATACATATATAAGAATTGTATAACCAACTTTTGAGATTAGATGAAAAGTGAGATAAGTTAAATAACATTGATTTATAGGACAATATAAGAATAATATATAAATGAGGAGACATTGACAGAAGTGATTATATGAACATGTAAATAAGTTATATGGAGAGGATATATGAGCTGAAATGAACATATAATACATGAGTCATATGGTAAAGATTTATGAATCTATAGGAAAATGTTATGGGAACTATGTGATGATAAGTTATGAGAAAATATTTATATAGGTAACAAGCTATGTGAAATTGAATTAAGTAATATATGAAACTAGAATATAATTAATGTGAAATAAGTGATTATGTAAAACTGTGAGAAGTTATAGGGCATTGTTATTCGAAGTATATGAAAGTATGTATATGGATACCTGTATAAGTTTATAGGTTATACTATGTGCTATGTGATATACTTGGTGTATGAGAATCATATGAGAATAAGAGATGACAATGAGTTACATGCCAGATGAACACAAGAGAAGTGTTATAAGCTACGTGACAGATGCTTATGAAATCATATGAAAAGTGAAATGTACATGTGAATATGTGAAGTGATATGAATATAATGCCCATGTTATATGATACGAGAGCTATAGGTATAGTTGGCATGCCAAGAGTCGAGGGTTTTACCTATGTCTTTCGAGACATATGGACAGTATACCTATGTTCTAAGGAACATATGGACAGTATACCTATGTTCTAAGGAACATATGGACAGTTTACCTAGGTTCTTCGGGATCTATGGACAGTTACCGAGGATCTTTATGACCTCTGGATAGTTACCGAGGATCTTTATGACCTCTGGATAGGTCCTTTGGGACATTGATCGAGCTGTGGTGACAGCATATGTGTGCACAACCTCAATATATTCACATACCTCAAGTTCTCACTAGTGTACATGGGCTAATAAAGAGATTAAACAAATATACTGAATGTGATATGTATACGATGGGTTTATAGATGGTTATCAAAGGTAAATGGTTTGAAATGTGTTACATGAACCATATGATGTTATGTGTGTTTCTTAATGGTAATGATAGAGATTATGTTAATGATGGTATATGTTTATGTATGCTTTATGTTATATGAAATATTATATGTTTTATATGCCTCACTAAGTCAACGGCTTAGCGTGTGATTATTTCACACGTAGGTTACAGAAGTGAGAAGAGTAAAGAGCAACGTGGAGCAAGACATGTCAATTCTTCTTACCAAAAGTCAGATCAGACGAAAGATAAATAATATGTATTTGAATACATAAAGTGTTAGTTGGCATGTATTCAAGATAATATATTGTATAAGCTCTGAATAGTTCGATAAAGGTTTTGAATAAGTTATATGTAATAATAAATTTTAAATTACTCACTATTTTATACAAGTAAAGGTTTTTGAAAAGTCCATGTGGCACTTCGGACTCGGATCCGGGTCCGATACGGGTTGGGGGTGTTACATCGATCCTCTTGTGGCCTGTCAGAGACGTAAGCAACATGATGGTACAAGGTAGAAAGAATGGTGTGAAGATATGATTGTTCCAATCAAATCTTCAAGTGGGAGATTGTTGAAATGTCAAAGCTTGGGCAGCAGAAAATTGGTTCAAGTTAGGCACCTAATATTGCAATGTCAAAATTAGGTGCAACAATGTCAACATTAGGTGCAATAATGTTTGAAAATTAAATGGGTAAATTATAAACTTTAGTCACTAAACTTTAGGGTATTTATAAGATTAGTCATTAAGTTTCAACTATAAATACCCTAGCTCATTTAGCTTCAAAACCATCCCAAAGCATTCTAGCTTTCTTCCAATACTAGAGAGATTTTAGAGAGTTTCTTGAGAGTTGTTTTCTCCTTTTTATCTAGAGAGAATTATCATTGTTTTCTCCTTGGTAGATCGAGAGAGGTTGTAATTCCTATTTTCTCATAGTGAAATTCTTCTACCGTTGCTCGTTGTTTTTACCCTAATAATTTTTAGGGGTTTTCCACGTAAATTGTGTGTCTCTTTTATTTTCATTTTTATTTTCTCAAATTATCAGTTGCGATTTTGCTCTATCCGATAGCCGTCTTCCGCAACAGAAACCACCTCACCTGAACTCATCTATGCTTTACCTCTTTATGGAAACATAACACTGTGATATCAACCAACGATTGATCTATCGTTGGTTGAGACTCTTCATCCAAACTAGAAAAGGTGAACAAAATTGAAGTGATGTCATTTGGTGTTACATTAGAGATTTAGTTGATTAAGGCTTTATAATAATATATTTTCTTTACAATGCAGCGTTAAAAATGCAAATTGCAAAATCCAAACCCCAACCTTTCCCTATATATAAAAGACCCTAGTCCACCAACCTCCGAGAAAAATAAACTATCTCAAACGTACAACTGACCCTGCCATTGCCAAACTATGTCCATTTATATATCCACTCAAGTTCTTCAAGGTTTGCTTCGAGAATTCCACTCTAGAAGGTTGCTGCTTTCTACACCAACCTCAGCAGCTCCTCCGAACCCGGAAATCCACAGCAATTCGTCGGACACTTACACCGGTAATAACAGCTTCGATGCCAACATTGTTATGGTTCTATCAGTCCTCTTGTGTGCCCTCATTTGCTCACTCGGACTCAATTCCATCTTCAGGGGTGCATTAAGGTGCTCGAATTTAGTAGGTTCAGAATCTGGAGCCAACACATCGAGTCGGTTAGCAAACAGAGGGTGAAGCTTAAAGCGTTGAAGACGTTTCCGACGGTGAAATACTCTGCCGACTTGAACCTCCCCGGCTTGGACACAGAGCGTGTGATATGTCTATCGGATTTTGCACCCGGTGAGCCGGTGCGGCTCCTACCAAAGTGCAACCATGGGTTCCATGTTAGGTGCATTGATAAGTGGCTAAGCTCCCATTCATCTTGCCCCAAATGTAGACACTGCCTCGTCAAGACATGCCAAAAGATTGTCAGGTGTAGCCAGGCAAGCTCGTCGGAGCCTCCTCCCGTGCAAGAAACCGTTGTGACCATCGCACCTGTAGATCGTGAAGGTCTGATGCATAGTTATAGGTGAATTGGCTGTCAGAATCTTTTGTTTATTGTATCAGATGCAACCCATAATTCAGCTATTTGCCCTGGAAATTAGCACTAGAATAGCATTTACAAGCAAGTGTATATTTAAGTTGTAAATTGATGTAAAGTTTGAAATTCCAGCTTCAGAGATAAAACACTATGATTGCTGTCAACACCTGCTTTAGGGGGGGGGGGAATTGTTTTTTTAAGGTTACTAATAAAGTAAAATGTCAGGTGCTTCAAAATATAAAAAATAATTAATCAACTTTAAGCATATGCTCATGTCTAAGTGCATTATAAATCATTTAGTCGACTTTATAAAACAATCAGTGTGAAATTGTACACGTGGTTTAAGTCCGAAGATAAAATGAAGGGGTACATATAAACACTTCATAATCTTCATCCAACTGATAAAATTACTCACTTTGCATTACCAACAATTTGAAGCACTAAACAAAGGGTTGAATGTTTGAAACGCAGTATCTTGAAGCAACAAAAAATGAACGGAAGCTGAAGATGATTCCACTATGGGTTTCTGTAATTGGTTCGGACATCTTAATCCATATCTGCCAAAGTAAAATATGATTTGAATAATAGATGCGCTCTAAATTCTAAACATATAATAATTTTAATATATGATACATTGCGAATTAAATCATATTCTCAACCATAACAAAAACCAAAACCATAGTTTAAACATTCAAAATATCAAGAAAGTGTACATTGAGATAAATCCAAAATTTTATAATATCATCACATACTTTAACAAAAGTTCTAATTCCAATCTCCATCCCTCTGGATTTGGTAGCAATCAAAGCATCATTAAAAAGAAGTAATGCAACTAACAGGGCACCATAATTTGTAGGGGAATCATTAGAAAGGTACATTGCATTTCCCAGGACTGGTTCCCTTCCCTCTCTCTTATTCGTTCTATTTTTCTCCTGATAAAGGATATCTTAATGGAGACCTTATCTTCAATCTACGTCGCCGAAAGGTAGCCCTCTGCCCACAACAAAGGGGATGAACTATGATCAAAAGATCAACCCATCACCATCATCAGCCCATCAAACCAAGTCGAACTACTACCTCACCAGTTGAACATTAACATTGGTGTGATGATTGTGGAACTCATTTCCCAGCCAAAAGAATTGAGCCGAAGTAAGTAACCCCGCACCCAGATTCAAAAGTAGTATTGAGAGACCCAACCAATGAGAGAAAGAAAGAGATTACAAGCAGACTAGACATTGTAATACCAGTGAGAAGACAGAGACGAAAGTTTCCATCCCCTGAAAGTTGTGTTGGTGAAGACAACACGTTTGTGGTGGAAAATGATGGGAAGAGGATGGCACTGGCCAAGAGAGACGCGTAACAGAACATTCAACATTGACAAGCCAATCCTAAAGGTTCCATATTGAGAATAGTATAGGTGTGGTCATGATTTGTTGTTTAGTTGTAGAAATTAGTCAGGAAACGCTAGTTAGAAAAATATCTCATATTGCAACAATATATGGATGGAATTATAGTGAAAACATCCCATTAAATGGAATTATAGTGAAAACATCCCATTAAATGGTATTATAGTGAAAACATCCCATTAAAGCCTAAAGAGGGACCCCTGATAATAGGGTTGAGATCCCTCGACTGTGCATGCTATACCAGATGGATGGAATTCACTGAGTCCTAGGGACAACATTCCCCACTATACGCATAACTATAAGCCAAATACCTTATTCCCCACTAAATAGTGAATAACTATTCGAATTTCTTCGACAAATACCTTCATATACATTGTTTCCTTCGAATCTCTAAAAGCCAAAAAGTCAAAATTCATATAAAATAAATCTATTTTGTTAAAATAAACTATAAAATTGCAAGACTAAACTGAGTATCAAAGTTAACCTTATCGAATTATTATGGACGGTTTAAAAAAATTTAAAAACGGATCCTAAATGAATACAACCCTAATTGCAGTCAAGAAAAAGATTTAAAGATTTAAAATAAACAATATAATATAATCAAGATAATGTGGTTTATAAAAAAAGTTTATATTTAAGAACTGCATTTTCAGCATGTTCTTAGTAGAGAAAGTTACAATAACTTCAGTAATATATGTAACCCTAATCACTGACCATTTTTATCGAAAAGAACATCTAACCTTATCTAGACTAGAGAGAAGTATTCTTGGATCCATAGAAAAAGTTCCAATAATGGTTAAGCATATGATTGGTGGGCGTTACTCTATTCCCTTTTCTGGTACAGAATATCGCATATGCGTCTGCAGCATACCTGGTCATCGAAAAGGTTAAAAATCTAAACTGTTTTCTTGTGGAAAACATGGGATTAACAAGATTGGATAGAGAGAGAGAACAGCCAACTTACTTTCCAACACCATGCAGCTCGGTCACATAAGTCCATTCCTTCCATAAATACTCCTGAGACATTCGTTGTATCATCTCTGCCCGCTTCTTTTGCAAACCAAGAGTTTTTATAGCCAGGGTTTCAAATCGCGGTCGCGGTCGCGTTTTCGGTTATTTCGGATTTACCGTGATTGCGGCCGTCGCGGGCGCTATTGCGGTCGTCGCGGACGCTATTGCGGCCGTCGCGTGTAACTCGGACGACGGCGAAACCGCTATATCGCGGCCGAAATCGCGGTCGTGGACCTGTTTTTGAAACCCTGTTTATAGCCTTTTCTATCTCCACAGTAGCAACCTCAGTGGCGGTCTTTGCATCAGGGCACAGAGTGAAGAATTCGGATAATACTTTTCTAGCCTGCAGTTGATGTAACCATCATTACTTTGACAGTTTTTACCATCCACTGCTTCGTTTTCCTCCAGTTTAACAGTAGAAAAAAGCATCAATGATAGAAATATCAAAATTTGATGTCTCATTGAATATTAACACAAAGAAGTTCTACGACCAATGATGAGATTAACAGGTTTAGGTTGATTTACCATCACAGTAAGAAAAGAAACAAAATGATCAAGATAGGCTAACCATGATAACTAAAAGGGAATCTCATGAAAGTCGATCATATTTCAATTTGTTTTCACTTTCCAATCCAACTGATACAATTTATCTGCAATACCTTTAGCAAACACAAGCTCCAATAGAACAAAAGTAAATATGTTTCCAATTTCCAACAAGAAATTGCTTGGATGACTGAAAATCAAGCATGAAAATATCATAGCAGCAAAACATCCAAAAGTAAAGCAACAGCATCTAACTGCAACAAGCGTTATTAAGTAAAGAAATGCATAATGGAATAAGATATTTGATTGATAGTAACCTGGTCGCCAGATGTTCTATTGAGAAGCATGCATATAACCAAGACCCTCCAGGGGTCATGTGCATGATTTTCTGGCAGAAGTGGGGCTTCAGAGCGAGGAGGGATCTGTGTATTATCTACAGTTTTTAAATTGGTAAGCCTCATCTCTCTTCTGAGAAGCAGAAAAAAAAGGTTAAACTCCATCTGTCTTCCTTGGCTCTCTCAAGACATCTAAAGTTTCATTGCTCTTCTGAAAATAAGGGGATTGTATCAATACTCTGGGTTTTTCTGCAATTCCCACTCGTCCTGCCTTGTTTTTATTTACTTGACTGGAAATGAGAGACCTTTCAAACTTGCACATCCCCTCTCCTCTTCTTTCCATTTTGTTCGCTAAAATTGTCCACTTCCTTCAAAAGCTTTTTTCCTCTGCTCTCCTCTTCTTTCCATTTTGTTTGCTTACATTTTCTGCTTCCTTCAAAAGCTTTTCCTCTGCTTTTCTCTTCTTTCCATTTTGTTTGCTTTCCCTTTCCTTCAAAAGCTTTTCCTTTGCTCTCATCTTTTTTCCATTTTGTTTGCTGACGTTTTCCCCTTCCTTCAAAAGCTTTTCCTTTGCTCTCCTCTTCTTTCCATTCTGTTTACTAATATTTTCCCCTTCCTTCAAAAGCTTTTCCTTACTACAACCCTTGTACAAAACTTGCAAAATCAAATTGAGCTGTCCTCCACAGTTGCCAGTTAAGCTGTTAAGTTTTCCCCCATATTCTTTTGAGAAAGTTATCGGCTAGTGATGTACTGATGCCAGATATTATATCTTGTTTTTGTCTAGCATTTCTTGTTCCATAGATATCGGCTATCAAGACAATAACTGATTGATCACTAAATGGTTCGAAATTGATGAGTTGCATGCATGTGTTGTAATAAGATGAAATTGAGCATATATTGTTGTTCTCCCTATTCCAAACTTACAATGACTGGAACTTTGTGTCTATGTCTTCTGATTCTTAAAATATTTGATTCTTCTGAAGTGAATAGATTATCTGATGGTCAATGGACATTAGTAATCTCCTGCTTTTGCAATGAATTTCAGAGAAATATGAACTTTAGTTGATCTTTGGCTTCTTATGATTTCAGATATGCTTCAGTTCATGTTGAATGAATTGGTTATGCTTCCTATTACTGTTTCTTGTTTCCTAGACGTTGTTCTGAACCCAATTCTTGGATAGTGTATATGAATGTATGTGTTAATTGTTGTGGACTCAAATCTTTTCACAAGTGTTTAAGATTGGATTGTAGTTCCTTAAGGGCCGGTGTTGAAGAAAATTGAAGGGAAGAGACTAGAGATGAAGGCATGAATTGCGGCTGATGGGCGTTTGACTAATGAAATGGATGCCTAAGGAAAAGAGATTAGAAATTTTGATCATGTGCTTTCCCAATTTGCATACAAGGGCGATCATGGTGAGTAAAATGTCTTGAACAAAAGTGAAATTGTGAGCAAAAAGAATGGAAAGAGGAGGATAGCCAATGTGCAAGTATGAAAGGTTTCACCGTATTTTCAAGCAAGTGGAGAAAAACACAACAGCTTAACTGGCAACTGCGGAGGACAGCTCAATTTGATTTCGCAAGTTTTGTGTGAGGTTTGTAGTAAGGGAAAGCTTTTGAAGGAAGGGAAAAATGTTAGCAAACAGAATGGAAAGAAGAGGAGAGCAAAGGAAAAGCCTTTGAAGGAAAGGGAAAACGTTAACAAACAGAATGGAAAGAAGAGGAGAGCAAAGGAAAAGCTATTGAAGGAAAGGGAAAGCAAACAGAACGGAAAGAAGAGGAAAAGCTTTTGAAGGAAAGGAAAATGTTGGCAAACAGAATGAAAAGTAGAGGAGGGCAGAGGAAAAGCTTTTGAAGGAAGCGGAATATGACTCCTCAGAATCGGCATCACTAGCACCCTCCCACCATCTCGGTCTTTGATTTGTCCAGCCTGATTTTTCTCGCCACTCAAATCCAGATTCTGGATTCTTGAAAGAATGACCTCCACCCAGAAGACCAAGTATACCATTTGTTCCCAAATTTAGCTTGGAAAATTCTCTCAGGACGATCAAATTCCTCAGAGAAACTCTCTCCTTTTAACTTTCCTGAGCCATGTAACCAAGGACAATAATGTTTTCAAATGCAGAAGCAAGTTCTTCCATAAAGGAGGCATTTTTTTCATGTTTCATTTCAAGAAACAATAAAAGGAGGAAGCTCACTTTTAACTTTTTTGTGGTTAGATTTCTGAACATGTCGTCCGGAAAACCTTGACCGCCGCTTCTTATCAGATCAATCTGAATCCCGCCTTCTGTCCCATCAAATTTCCATGTTGGAACTTCATCCTGGATAAAAGACAAAGGCATAACTTATATAATAATTTCAGGTAATAATGACAGAAATGGCAATAATGAAGACACTAAAACTAATTCTAAGACTTGCACCTAAAATTGGAGTAAAACTATAGGTGTCAAAATATTTCCAAAATTGAATCTTTGCAATTGGATCATTGGTCCATTATTTCCAAAATACTTGAAAATTTCCTTAATAGATTAGAATAAGCAAATAAAATTGGTGTAAAACTATAGGTGTCAAACGGGCAAGTTGGGTAGGGTTTGAGTCAGGTAACTTCAGTTCAGGCTTAGGTCATCTGGGGTTCAAATTGTTTAATTTTGAAATAAAATCAGTTTAATGCAGGTTACAATTTTGGTTCATTCATGAAACTAAACCCATCCTTTTCCATACACTAAAACGAAAGTCCAATCATTTTCTATACATAACAAGTAAAAATCAATCCCAAACGACAGATAAATGGCCCGAGAAATACTTCAACAAATATATATACACAAGCAAACAAAATCTGGTAAAAACCATTGGATTGAGGAAACTGATTAAAATAAAGAAAAAAACCTGGAAAAAATCCTCATCGAGAAGACCACGTCCTCTGGTTTCTTCAGGCATTACAGCTGCGAACAAGGGATCCACTTCGATTGTTTTAATTTTTTTCCTTGTGCGGAGCCTCGATCTTAATAGCTTAAACAAAGAGGTTTTAGACGGGCTTATATACATGGGCTTAGATATTTTTAAATTTGAGTAGAATTTATCGGCTTAATTAGGGACAAGTAAATTTGCACGGGCTTGGATATTTCATGGACCACTAAAGTAGTTAACAATTACTGTAAATTTTTATCTATTTTCTAATTTTTTAACATTATTTTCGTAAAAAATTCAATCAATTACTTAAAATAATTACGTAATATAATCATATAAATTTAAAAAAATACTCTATTCTTCCTGTTAATTTAAAAGAAATATAAGTACGATCACAATAGTGAAAGAAATCGTTGTCAATTTTAGAAGTTACAGATTCAAAAACTAACAATTGAATAATCATTGTTAAATGATTAAGATTATTTAACATAGATATTATTTTGTGATAAACTTAATTTGATAATTAAAAAATTATGATAAAAGATTAAATAAGTATTACCGAAAGATATCTTTAAAATATTTTATTGCAGCAGTTAAAATTTTCTAAACGATTTATTTATTTATTTATTTATTTATTTATTTTGTAATATGAATGAGTAAGATAAATATCGCGTTCCTTTCTTTTCAATCCCTCTACATTTGGGTCTGCACCACCGCTTCAACAGGGAGCAGAGAGAAAAAAAGAGTCTGTCGTTTTCCTGCTCCTTCTTCTTCTTCTACTCTGGACATCCTCATTCTTTTCTTATCCAGGTAAATCTTCTATCTTTCCTTTCATTTTACTTTCAAGTACACTGATCTGTGGATTCTGATGTTTCCACGATGGTGGAATTGAGATCTAGAATTCTACATGTTTTTATAGACTTAGAGTTAGCTTAATCTGCTTCTCTTTGGATCTGGATCTTTTCTTTTTTAGTTAGCTTGATCTGCTTTCTATAGTTCTCGTGAGAACTTTTATTTGACTTTATTTTGAAACTGGTCTTCCTACTTGTTCTTTATTAAAGATTGATGCTTTTATTGTGTGAATTTAATGCTTCTCCAAAGCTTTTTTTAGATTAAGAAAAGGCTCTAACCTTTATCTTTTGTTTCGATATGTTGTTCATCGAGTCATAGAGTATAGCTCGCTTATATGCTCCTGAAATGAATGTTGCCTACCATTTGAATCGACTGTACTTGGTTGCGCAGCTGCGCTGTATTTTCTGTATTTGAAGAGATGAATGCTGGCATAAGCGTTTCTGGCTCTTTTTTAAAAGAGAAAACATAACTTGATTTGCTGAAGACTTTAATTTGAATTGTTTAGATTATTTGAAGGGCCTTAGATTCCCGGTTGACAAATTATTTTGTTATACTCACTATCTCAGTTCTTTTTGTAGTATTGCAAAAGATGGCCGATACTGAGGATATTCAACCCCTCGTCTGTGACAATGGAACCGGAATGGTGAAGGTTAGTTGATTCGTGGACCTGAGTTATGTTCTCCATTACTGTCTATTTCATTATGAAGATTCTTCTATTTTGTTGTGGTTGATGTGACTGTTTATACAGGCTGGTTTTGCTGGTGATGATGCTCCCAGGGCAGTTTTTCCCAGTATTGTCGGTCGACCCCGACACACTGGGGTCATGGTTGGGATGGGCCAGAAGGATGCCTATGTAGGAGATGAAGCACAATCTAAAAGAGGTATTCTTACATTGAAATATCCCATTGAGCATGGTATTGTCAGCAACTGGGATGATATGGAAAAGATCTGGCATCATACATTCTACAACGAGCTTCGTGTTGCTCCTGAGGAGCATCCCGTGCTTCTCACGGAGGCACCTCTCAATCCCAAAGCCAATAGAGAAAAGATGACTCAGATCATGTTTGAGACCTTCAATGTACCTGCCATGTATGTTGCTATCCAGGCTGTTCTCTCACTGTATGCCAGTGGTCGTACAACAGGTTTGTTCAAATAGAGACCTTCTTGAGTTTCACACTTTTTTTATTGATTATTCATAATCAAGCTGAGACCTTGGAACAGGTATTGTGCTGGATTCTGGTGATGGTGTTTCTCACACTGTGCCAATCTATGAGGGGTATGCCCTTCCCCATGCCATCCTCCGTCTGGACCTTGCTGGCCGTGATCTTACTGATGCTTTGATGAAGATTCTTACTGAGAGAGGTTACATGTTCACCACCACTGCTGAACGGGAAATTGTCCGTGACATGAAGGAGAAGCTTGCATATATTGCCCTGGACTACGAGCAGGAACTGGAGACTGCCAAGAGCAGCTCTTCTGTTGAGAAGAATTATGAGTTGCCTGATGGACAAGTCATTACTATCGGAGCTGAGAGGTTCCGCTGTCCTGAAGTCCTCTTCCAGCCATCTCTCATCGGGATGGAAGCTGCTGGAATCCATGAAACTACCTACAACTCCATCATGAAGTGTGACGTGGATATCAGGAAGGATCTCTATGGCAACATTGTGCTTAGCGGTGGCTCAACTATGTTCCCTGGTATTGCAGACCGAATGAGCAAGGAGATCACTGCCCTTGCTCCAAGCAGCATGAAGATCAAGGTAGTTGCACCACCAGAGAGAAAGTACAGTGTCTGGATTGGAGGATCTATCTTGGCATCACTCAGCACCTTCCAGCAGGTGAAATATTTTTGCTCATATTTGGTTCATGCTTTCCTTTTCCTGTAAGTTGGTTGTCCAAGACTGACATTCTTCCTTTACCTGTTGCATCAGATGTGGATTTCCAAGGGCGAGTATGATGAGTCCGGTCCATCCATTGTCCACAGGAAGTGCTTCTAAGTCGTCTACAAGTGATTTGATGGTGAGTTACATTTAATGTTTAGTTGGTTTCTCGTGTCCTGTATCAAGTGAGCTCAAAGTCTGGCTGATGTGGGGAAATGGAGGTAAGCCTTTTATCTGTTATGAGTCCCGCTGGTGTCACTGTGATAGAGATGATGGCCTTCTGGAGGTGGTGGCGAGCCGGACAATTGGTGCTTTCTTTTCATCTTTCAACCATGTTTGTAGCTGGAGAGTGAGTGTGATGCTTCTTTATTATATTTTTCTCAAATTTTCATATTCAAATTAAAATTTAAAACATTAATATTAATAGCTGTTGTATGAACAAAATTAAAATTTGATGCAAAAATTATATTTGAACCCTTTTCTCCGAATTGTGAAGAACACGGTTTCTGTTAATGCATGCCTTAGAATGAGAATTATGTCAGCTCGGTTGTGATTAATTATTGTTATGCACATCGAAGCCAATGATTGGCAGACGGGTATGCCAGGCCTGAGTGTATGTGTTATATAATGACAATATGTTCCACATTGTAAATGTCTACAGTATGGTTGGGTATGGAAATGTTAATGGGTCGGACATCTGTAAATTGAATTATTTGAATTTAAATTTATCTGAGTTTTTTAATCTATTTTTTCCACAAATCATTGAATATTACCATTTGATCTTGAACTAAAATTGAATATTACTATCCGTCAAATATTATTGATTCAAATATTAAATTTTTGGACAAAATGATAGAATATATAAATTCAACAATTTCAACTCCATTGATGCTTATATGGTTCAGATTATACATAAAATCAGAAATGTGAATTGAATTCAACAACAAAAAAGTGAACAACTTGATGTGTAGAGCTGGACGGTGTCTTGTTCAGATCTTTGTAAAATGAAGAGGTTCCCTTTGGCATCTCTCCCTATCCTCATCGTGTCATCTACATATCTGCACTTTCCAACTCAATTCAAGGAACAACGACCACTCTCAAGTTTACAGTATTAATGAATTGCACCAGGTAAAAGTATACGTTATCTCCAGCCACCCCTCTGGATTGAAGATTCCAAGCAGAAGATGGTAATTTTTCCGAAACACGTTCATCAGCTATGGTTTCTCAAACGAATCAAAGCTTCAAGTTAGGATCAACTATGTACATCACTAAGGCTTTACTTGGTGTAATATCCTCATGTTACCTGATCAGGAGTGATGGTTGAATTATCATAACTTATATACACTCTCTGCACAATTCCAAACGTTTTTGTATTTTGTGGCATTCATGAAAGAAAGAAAGAAAGAAAGAAAGAAAGGGTTTAACTGATTTGGATGCAATCTTGAAGGAAGCTTCGATTGTGAGCTTCCCATTCAACAATTTCAGCCCCCTGGCATTGAACTTTATCACGTTGACTGCTTTGCTCTCCATTTTCCCATCGCCAAATGCTAAAAGTTAGTAAAACCCGAATCCCATCACAAACATAAGACACCTAAAATTTCTCGAGTAATGCAATACATTTTGAATATCAATGGTCTGGAAAAACTCTCCCAGGGTGATGAAATCCCTCAACCCAAGCTTCGTTCTCTTTGAACCCAAGATTGTAATAGAACTGTAAACAAGCTTCCAGCAACCACCTACCTTCATTCCATTTATAGAAACAAAACCGTAACTACGTACCCTTCAGTTCATTTCCACAAATAGAAATATGATTTCACCTTTTCTAGATTCAGGGTAGGATCTGGAGTTGGATTCTGGGATTATAGCAACTTCACCAGTGCTTCAATATCTGATTTCTTAGAAGATGCTACTCCGAAAACCCCTCTATTGATTCCTTGGAATACATAAACAAAAGAAAATAACCCACTTTCAATATTCTAAGGTAAAAAAGGACGGGATGAAAGCGGCTGTGGCCATCCATACCATGGAGTTGCTGTAAGAGTAGAGATTTGAGGTGGGAAAGTGTATCCTCGCCGACTAAGCCAGCGTTGTTATCGGCGACTCTAGTGATAAAACCGGGGATGAATCTGTTGGTGGTAGCCATTGGATGTATGGTTGAGACGTGGGTAGCGTGAGGTTTGATGATTTGTTTGGTTGTGGGGGAGAAGAGAAGTACTTGAGAACCATGTCCAGTTGAGCTGGGACGGGATCAGATCCCTTAATCCATTTAGTTAATTCATAGGTTTGGGTTTAGGGTAAATCTATTTTGGTGTCTATTTTTTCCAAAACCAATTAGATACATAAATTTGACTTTTTAGTATTTACTTTTTAAAATCAATTCGAATTATAAAAACTAAGTTCAAGTGTTGATGTAAATAAGAAAAAAACTATACCAAAAAAAAAAAGTTTCAGTGACAAGTTATAATCCCTGCGCTGGTGATAATGTCGAGATGTCTTTGTACAAAAATGAGATGCTTTTATAAGTCTCCATTATTAAGTCGGTGTTAAAAGATATTACATAAAGAAGTCTCTACCAGACATGTATGGCTTCGCTCGTTCAACCATAAACAACCTAAACTGGAGTACTTTGCTTTATTAAAAGACACGAAATGTGTGATTCTCCGTCCAAACTAAATGAGATGAATCATTGAATTGACATTATAAAAACATGAATACATAGACTAATGGTTTACTAATAAAGCTAGACCTTTTCCTATGTACCAATTTATATCGCCGAAAGCACCAAAAGCAAAAGCAAAAGCAAAAGCGAGCTTTATTCCTAAACTTTCTCGACGATTAGGGAACAAGTGTTGGATTGTCTCCGGTGTTCACATGAACACCTAGAAACAGGACAATTAATGAAGACCCACTAAGACAAGACGAAGAAACTTGGATTATCACCATAACCTAACATCATCAACTTGTAGCAAATAGTACATTCAATCAAAATTCATGTCAAAATTGATATTCGTTATTTTAGATATAGAAAAAACTTTTAATCACTCAAAATATTGAACAATCTTCCCATTTCAATAAGTCTAACAATTGATCTGCAGAGACAATAGCCTCTTGTGGTTATTATTTTCCCTCCATACATTACACAGTAATGAACATCTTTTTTTACTAAGCAAGAAAGTTAAATAAGAAGCCATAGAAATTAAGATATACACCTCTTCTCTTGGAAAACAAAATTTTGAAAATTCAACATCATTATGAAGAAATAGAAATAGATGAATCATGCACCTCTTCTTAGCCTATCCTTCTCTGAAACCACTCGGCATCGGAAAACATTACCAACCTCATGATTTAGGATAGAGCATGGCATAGTGATTTGTACGCATCAACACACTGCTTAAATTTCTCTTCACCCATCTCCTGCTTAAAGCTCCACTAAATTAAGTACAAAATCACACACAATGACAGACCAAAAAAATGTATATGATAAACCGTAGATTAAAATTCATAAAAAAATTGTTTGGATTTGGATGAGCAGCCAATAATTTTCTTTTTTTGGAAATTCTAACCTACCTGCAAAGGACCTTGATGCTTATCAGGATGCCACTTCAAAGCTGATATGCGGAAGCTGCAATGACAATTTTAATGAATGTTAGAATACACGCATGAAAAACAATTGGAGTAAGTGGGAAACTTAAATACGTAATGTTTAATCTTCAAGATGACAAGCCTCTCAAATATCGAGTTCTTACGCATTCTTAACATCTTCAATCTTTAAGGGGCCTGTTCGAGGCAAATCAAGGATTTCTCTATCAGAACATGATCCTACGGAATATGACTCATCATCCTCATCAGACTCAGCATCACTAGCACCCTCCCACCCTCTCGTTCTTTGATTTGTCCAGCCTGATTTTTCTCGCCACTCAAATCCAGATTCTGGATTCTTGAAAGAATGACCTCCCCCAGAAGACCAACTATAACATTTGTTCCCAAATTTAGCTTGGAAGATTCTCTCAGGATGATCAAATTCCTCAGAGAAACTCTCTCTTTTTAACTTTCCTGAGCCATGTAACCAAGGAAAATAAAGTTTTCAAATGCAGAAGCAAGTTCTTCCATAAAGGAGGCATTTTTTTCAAGTTTCATTTCAAGAAACAATAAAAGGAGGAAGCTCACTTTTAACTTTTTTGTGGTTAGATTTCTGAACATGTCGTCCAGAAAACCTTGACCGCCGCTTCTTATCAGATCCATCTGAATCCCGGCCTTCTGTCCCATCAAATTTCCATGTTGGAACTTCATCCTGGATTAAAGAAAAAGGCATAACTTATTATAATTTCAGGTACTAATGAATCTTTTGGTACACTGTAACACAGAAGATACAAGGCATTCAGGTTTTACATACATCATTCGAGTCAAATGGTTTCCAGGTAAATAAATAACATTCTGGCTTTACGTACGTTTGAGTCAAACTGTTCCTTGGTAAATAAATAAAATTCAAGCTTTACATGCTTATTAAGTCCATCGAATTTTAAGAAACTTCAACTTACCATCACTCATCACAAAAGCAAATGCAACCTCAGTATTTCAATGGCCTAACTGAAATCATAAGCTTCTACTATACCTCAACACTAGATGCACACTTTATGGGAATATTCTATGAACCATAGACTTAAGAATTTTTATCAAAATATAAATGACAGAAATGCCAATAATGAAGACACTAAAACTAATTCCAAGGCTTGCACCTAAAATTGGAGTAAAACTATAGGTGTCAAAATATTTCCAAAATTGAATCTTTCAATTGGATCATTATTTCCAAAATATTTGAAAAAATCCTTAATAGATTAGAATAAGCAAATAAAATTGGACTAAAACTATAGGTGTCAAACGGGCTAGTTGGGTTGGGTTTGAGTCAGGTAACTCCAGTTAGGGAAGAAAATCAAGTTCCGCTCAGTTCAGGCTTAGGTCATCCAGGGTTTAATTTTCAAGTAAAATCCAGGGTTTAATTTTCAAGTAAAATCAGTTTAATGCAGGTTACAATTTTGGTCCATTCAGGTCAGAATCATCTCTGAATCAGGATATTTTAGGTTCATTTGGATTGTAGACATCTATGGTCCTGGGAAGGTTTACAGGTTAGGGATAAGTTTTGACAGCTCTAAACAAAACCACATAAAAAAACAACAATAAAGTTTATCAAAATCTAACTACGGAAAAATAACTATAATATAAACAATACATCAGGAAGACTGAAGTTCAAATCTTGAATAAGATCAGGGTTCTACATCAAGCAGGAGTCCAGAAACGTTTACCTGGAATGAAACCTTTGAGCAACCACTATTATGGAGAAGATGTTTTAGAGCTGGCTTTGTGTCGGCACGCTTTTGATGTACTGTATATCTTATGTAGTTCTGCAATAATGTTTGAAATATCAGAGAGCTCTCTTTTTCTTTCTTAAAAAAAGAACAAATAAAGTAGGAAGGAAACTGCCAGAAGATGAAAAAAGAGTTCATAACAAAGCTACTTAGGTAGTATGAAATTAACAAATAGCAAAATCATAAGCCATTAGAAGATGAGGTCCAGCATCTGATCAACATGAACATTCAAATAAATCATGGGGGTTTCTTTCCTGAGAATACTAAGTTTTTATTTGCATTAAAGATTGCTAGGAATGTTCCCAGTCCAAGTATAAGATAACTGTTTCGGCAATCGAGGTTGAAGAAAAGATCTAGAAATGGATGGTATGGCTCAGGCATACAGACTTGACCTGGTATTTAGTCTACTAAAAGTTTTGAAACGATTATCAGTCTAAAGACATTTGTATATGATATACTAGGAACAAGATAATTAAAAGATGCACGCACATAATTACACAAAATGGACACCCCAAAATTTGCATACCTTAGTTGTTTGTTGTTTACTTCTTTCATCCTGCAAAAATAGGTTTAATTGTTAAGTTTTCTCATCAATGTAAAGCATATACAATTTAACCCACTTCCAAAACAAAAAAAATATTAGTGCATTAGAAAAACCTGGAGCTCAATTCTATGCAATTGATGGTGTTCCAGAGTGGGAAAAGGGAATAAATACTCATTCACATAGAAGATGACATACTTAGATCAGAATCAGGAACATACAATATGGGGAAAGAGGTTGAAAATTGCAGAACCTAACATTATTACTTTACATCAGAATTCAGAGAACAGGACGTTATTTTATTGAAGGAATGCCACAAATTAAAGCTATTCAAGAACTTGAATTTCAAAAACCCTATTTAAAGCTATTCAAATTAAAATTGAAATTCAAGCTCACCCACAGACAGCACTAAGAAAAGGAGAATATATATACGTATAAACCGAAGAAAAAGGAAAGAAAAGTGAACTGACAAAATTCCATTTGGTATTCCATTTTTCACAGATAACAGGCGTAGAATGAAATGAAGCAACGAGGGCAGCAGCAACCGTAGTGGTTGGTTTTGAAGGTGACAAAGCTGGAAGCAATGAATTCTTGAGTAGCAACAAATTTGGACATCTGGTTATCTGCATAATCGATGAAATCAAGACAAAACCCACTCTCTTCACCAGAGGGAGCCTTGGGTGGTAAAAAGAAGAAAATTGCATCTCTGAAGAAGAAAGTTGAAAGTAAGGATTTTGGGGGTTGGCTTGGATCCCTTGATTGTTCTTGGGCCATTGTAGAGTAAACTCCCCGACCGAACCTACGACTCAAATGATGCAACCCACCCACAACTTAACTCATAATTGACGTAACCACTGTGGACACTAGAATGGACTTGGACCTAAATGCACAAAATTTGATATTAGGCTTGGACTCCATGGATAAAACAAAAGGCCTGTTTGAGTGGAAAATTGATTTGACAGGGTCTCCACTCCTATACCATTTGACGATCTCAACAATGTTTGATAAGTTGGCTCTAAAAGCTATAAGCTGTATTTATTTGAGGGATTTGAATTGTATAATGACTAAAGAATTGAATGTAATGAAATAGTAAATTGAACCAAATCATTCTAATATCATTGTAACCTTGGAAAACAAGGATGGACCTAAGGGAGCAGGTAGGGATGGTTATCCCTAAAAATATAAAATTATCATATATTTTAGATTTTTTATTGAAAATCTGATTAATTGAAATTTTATAAATTCAAATTCAATCCTTAACTTAAAATAATATGTTCATTCCTGTTGGAAACTCAATTGGAACTCTTGAAATAGGTTTGAGGGGTTACATAGACATAACCAATGGTTTTAAAAGGCTTCACTCTAACAACTTAGGGAGATTATCTTACTTCTCATCATATCCATATTTATATTGTTATTTTAATTTGATAAATTGCTCTTAAGAAAAAATCCTATCGTTCATATCAATATATGAAATGCATTTTTTATATATAAGGTAATTAAAATTGTATATGTTTATACATTGGCGGAGCCAATACCTAGCAAGGGGTGTCAATTGACACCCCAAAAGTTTTTTTTATTAAAAACATTGCCATATAAATTATATATATATATATATATATATATATATTAAAAAATGAAAAATTTTTGATTATCCTTTAAAAAAGAAATTTACCCTATTTCTTAAAAAGTATTTAATAAAAAAAATTAAAACTCAAATTTTCCTCTTAAAAGAAAATCTACACATATTTGTTTTAAAATTTAACACCCCAAAATAAATTTTCTATCTTTGGCCATGTTTTTATAAAATATTAGTAATTTATAGAAATATATTTAATTTTACATTTTTATTCAAACAATAATACTGAAATATTTAATGACTATCAGAAAATAATAAGTTTTTATTTAATATAATTTAATTCATATCATTAATTATAATTTAATTCATATCATTAATTATTCGTGTAGTATTAATATAATTTAATACTACACGAAGGGATGAGGCCATCAGTTTTGAAAAGCTCCATATATTGAGAGGGTGGGGATGAGAGTAAAGTTAGGGTTTGGCGTTTGGAAAGGCAATGCCGAACTCTCAAGGAGCTCCCACCAACCATCCCAATGCGATGATCCCATCTCTACTATCTTTGTTAGACTGATGAGTGTCTTTAAATATGTTGCTGTTTAAGGTTTCTGTCATGATGAATAAATGTTTTCTATTTCTCTTGTTATTGTTTTCGCTAATTATGGCCTTCTATCCCTCTTGGTTTTACTTTCGAATTCAATATGTATACATGTTCTGCATCAAATACCAAACCTTACATAATTTTCCTCCAAATCTAATCTAGGATAACCAATTTGGTAAGAAAATAAAAATGAAATCTATGTTGATGATTTTTAATATTTTCACTGTGACTTTTAACTTGAAATATTCATCGACGACAACGAAGATTGAATCTGGTCATTCAATATTGTTTATGTGAAGTCTAGCGCACCATGTTTGAAACTTATCACGGATTTTTTTTTTTTTTGCAAAAAGAAGAAAAAGAAAACGTAAAAGAAGAAGAAGAAATGTTCAAGAAAAAAGAAGCGGCGGCGTGTAAGAAAAGAGAAATAACGATGTATACGAAAAGAGAAAAAAAAACGCAAAGAAAACAAATAAAAATGAGAAAAATATAAAAATATAAAAACCCTAAAACATATTATATATAAGGACATTATTGCAATTATCTTAGAGCGAGTTAGTTCGGGTCCACCCTAAATTTGACTTTAACCTGATCCTAACCACCTCTTTCACACAATCCACCCATCCCACCCCAAATATGATTTTAAAAATAATCAAATTCTACGGGATTGGATTGAACAAAAATTCATTGATTTCGACCTATAAATGAGATACCTTCAAAGATAGTGTTGGGAAATAAACCGAGTACAAGTAATTTTCCTATAACTAGATTAGTGAGAATGCGAAATAAAAGCGGAAAAATAATACCCGAAATTGATAACGGAGTTCAGCCAATTGTGCTTACGTCTCCGGACTGCTGCAGATCTTTTACTAAGAGAGAAAATTTACAGGTGTTTACAAAACACTCACTACTCACAAGAAAGCTCTCTAGTATTGTGAGAAAGAAATGATTTTTGGGATGATTTTAAAGCTAAATGGTCTAGGGTATTTATAGTTGAAGCTTAAGGACTAATCTTGTAAATACCCTAAAGTGTGTAATGGCTAAAATGTAATTAACCCCTTTATCAAAATCAACAAATGTTGCACCGTTTTTTGACAATTTGCACCGAATTCTTCTGTCAGCAAAACCATTCCCCTTTTGTTGAAAAATCAACAGGCGGTGCCCACCCTTTTTTACTTTACAATCTCCCACTTGAAGACTGATTTTAATCTGTCTTCACACCTTGATCAATGCAGCAATATTTCTGGTCTTGTTATTCTAGCATGCCAACTGAAGCTGAACATAACTTCAGTTTGTCTGTGGTCACCGTCTTTGTCAACATGTCTACCGGATTTTGAGCTCCACTAATATTTTCAAGTTTTAAAATCCCATCTTCCAGAAGAGACCGGATAAAATGATATCGCAATTGTATGTGCTTCGTTCTGGAATGAAAAGATGAATTCTTCGCTAGATGGATAGCACTTTGACTATCGCAATACAAGACATTATTTTCTTGTTTCTTGTCTAACTCTTCCAAGAAACTTTGGAGCCAAACCATCTCCTTGTTGGCTTCCATAACAGTGACATATTCTGCTTCAGTTGTGGAGAGAGCAACTATCTTCTGTAGTTGAGAAACCCAACTCACTGCAGTACCTCCAAGAGTATAAACATACCATGTAGTGCTCTTTCTGATGTCAACATTTTCGGCTAAGTTAGCATCTACATAGCCTGTCAGTATCGTATCTCCACCTTTGAAACAAAGTGCTTTGTTTGTAGTACCCCGCAGATATCTGAGGATCCATTTGACTGTTTCCCAGTGTACCTTGCCTGGATTATTCATGTACCTACTAACAGCTCCCACTACATGAGCAATATCTGGTCTAGTACAAACCATGACATACATTAGACTTACAATTACTGAGGCATACGACACCTTCACCATGTGTGCACGTTTTTCCTCCGTCTTTGGTGACTGTTCTTTGGAAAGTCTGAAATGAACACCTAAAGCCTGGAGAGTACTTTGTTGATGTACTCAGCCTGTGATAACATCAAAGTCCCCGACTTTGTGTCTCTCTTAATCCTCATCCCAAGAATCTGCTTTGCAGCGCCCAGATCCTTCATAGCAAACTGCTTCGACAATTTTTTCTTCAAGTTTATAATCTCTTGCATGTCTGAGCCTGCAACGAGCATGTTATCAACGTACAACAATAAAATAATGAAGCTATTGTCGAACCTCTTGATGTAGCAACAATGATCTGCTTGGCATCTGGTAAAACCATTGCTACCCATGAAGTTGTCGAACTTCTTGTACCACTGTCTAGGAGCTTGTTTTAAACCATACAAGCTCTTCTTCAACCTGCATACCATGTTTTTCTTGTCTGCCTTTATGAAGCCTTCTGGCTGCCTCATATAGATTTCTTCCTCCAAATCACCTTGAAGGAAAGCTGCATTTACATCTAACTGCTCAAGATGTAAATTCTCTACAGCTACAATTTTCAACACCAGTCTGATTGTAGACAGTTTTACAACTAGAGAGAAAATTTCATTGTAGTCAATACCTTCTTTTTGCTGAAAGCCTTTGACAACCAATCTTGCTTTGTAGCGTTTGCTCCCATCGTGCTCTTCTTTGATCCTGTAAATCCACTTGTTGTGGAGTGCTTTCTTGTCTGGTGGTAATTCAGCTAATTCTCATGTCTGATTTGACATAAGCGAGTCTATCTCATCTTTCATGGAAGACTCCCACTTGACTGAATCCTCCACTTGCATTGCTTCATCATATCACTCTGGTTCACCATTGTCAGTCAGCAACAAGTAGTGCAAAGAAGGAGAATACCGTTGGGTTGGTTTAGGAATTCTGGAGGAGCGTCTCAGTTCTGGTGTGACTGGTTCTTCTTGAACTGCTTCAGGACTGATCTGAACATCATTTCCATAAATCTCCTCGAACTCAGCAAATTCCTTTATTTCAGCTTCGGTATTGGAGCTACTTGATTCTATGGTTGACATGTCTTTGTACATCACATTCTTATTGAAAATGACATCTCTGCTTCTGATGATCTTTCGATTTTCGTAGTCCCAAAACCGGTAACCGAACTCATCACCGCCATAACCAACAAAGGCACATTTGTTGGACTTAGCATCAAGTTTACTTCTTTCAGCAGAGTCTATGTGTACATAAGAAATACAACCAAACACTCTTAAGTGTGAAAGGTTAATTTCTTTCTTGCTCCAAACTTCCTCTGGTATTCTGCCATCCAAAGGAACGGAAGGCCCACGGTTGATCAGGTAAGCTGTAGTGTTGATAGCTTCAGCCCATAGAAATTTGGGTAATCCGACATGTATCCTCATGCTTCTGGCACGTTCATTCAGAGTTCTGTTCATGCGCTCTGCTACGCCATTCTGCTGCGGTGTCATGGAAACTATTGTTTCCATCTTGATCCCATTGTTTGCGCAGAAATCTTTGAATCTCCTATTTCTGTACTCTCATCCATTGTCAGACATCAACCGCTTGACTTTTAGACCAGTCTCATTTTCCACCATGGCCTTCCATTTTCTGAAGGTAT